CCAGGATAAAGAGGGAATGGTTTTAGTAAACAGCTGTCAGCCTGCGCTATGAGAAATTGTCAAAGACAGGGGATCTGGAGGAAAGCTTGTACAATGTGTTTCTAGCCTGAGAAGGGCTGGGATGTGAGAACATGTATTCTTTTGCATAAACTCCCCCACTGAGGCATCTTTCCAACTATGAACTTCGTCATTTCTGGCGGTGCTTGCTTCACATTATAGTTGATATTCTGGGAAAAACTTTTACAGAGCATCAAGCTTCAAAGAACAGAAAGCTAATACTTCTCATAATGAACAATCAGCTTGGCTTTCTGGGAATCTCATTCCTGAGTGTCCTTCATGTTGTTCAATTACTCACAATGAAGCCAATGGCTTAGGTTTGGTGTGTGCAGATTGTAAAGGTGAAATTCAGGAGTGTGGAGGAAAAAGCAGCATTGAAACCCACCACTTTCTACCTATCTCATATGAAGCAAGAAATTAAGCATTATTAATGCTAAACGAATTGAGTGTGCAACATAATACAGAAGTTTTATTTAAAATAAATTCCCTCATAATGCATAATCTCATGCTACACTCATGCTGTAATTCATTCTGGTGAGCCTGGGGACTAACATTGTGGCACAGCAGATCAGCCAATACCTGAAATGTCAACATCCAGAGAAGTGCTAGTTCAAGTTCAGCAGCTCCACTTCCAATCCAGCTCCCTCATAATGCTATATTCCCTGCCTGGGAAATCAGCAGATGATGGCCCAAATGCTCGGACCCTGCCACTCATGTGGGAGACCCAGCTGGAGTTTCAGGGTCATGGTTTCAGGCTGGCTCAGCCCTAGTCATTGCACTCATTTGGGGCCAAACAATTCATTCTCTCTCTCTCTGTCTCTCTCTCTCTCTCTCTCTCTCTCTCTCTCTCCCAAAACACTGCATTTCAAGCAAACAAATCTTTTCCAAAATGTTAGTGATTTTGACCTCTTCTTGATAGCAAGCAGATCACAGGGATACATGATGTAAAGAAGGCATCTAGCTAATCAGGCAAATCCTTTCAGGCAGGGTTAATAGTTGTTGCTGTGACATAATTGGGTAATTCAGGCTGGCTGAGGAGTGCGGGAAGTTGATTTTCACCAGGGCAGTGGCAGGAGACAGATGCTGAAACGAAGTTTCATCTTCATGAAAAACACAGCTGCCAGGTAGAGTAGCAGTTTTGCCAGGATACTGATTCCCCCGACAGGTATCCACCTTGCAAAGCCAATGTCTGTCATCCTAATTTTGTGGGCAATGGATGTTAACAGATGAGGCTGCTGGAACTTTAAGACACATTTCAGTACTTTGTATCCACAGAAAGAATAGTCTGTCCTATTAAGATTTTTCCACTAGGAAAACAGCTTTGAATCCCTTTTCAAGGAGATATTTGTGGTAACCTTCAGTAAAGAATAGGGATAAGGGCTCATCGCAATAGCATAGTGGCTAAATCCACACTTTGCATCTAGCAGGATCCCACATGGGCTCTAGTTTGTGTCCCAGATGCTCCACTTCCTGTCCAGCTCCCTATCGAGGATAGCCCAAAGTCTTGGGACCCTGCTCCTTCATGGGAGACCTAGAGGAGGATCCTGGCTTCTGGCTTCAGATCAGCTCAGTTGCAGCTGTTGCAGCCACTTGGGGAGTGAATCAGTCTCTCCTTCCCTCTGTGAATCCAACTTTCCAATAAAAAAAATAGAGATATATATTTTCTGCCAGTCCTCTGATTTTACCACTACTATTCACAAATTCCTACCCCTACTGGTGAGGCTTGTCAGGACCAACGGCAGCCTTCTCCACTCCTTCGTGGCTTGTAACACTATAGGCCACAGAGAGCCCACATCCTCAGAACCACCGTAACACCCCAACCCAACTCTGCCACCCAAATCCCAAGTAGAAAGCAGACACGGTGGCCAGAGAGGACTACAGTCAGCTTTATTAACAGGTTGGAGAACACATCAGGGCTCTGAGGCCTACGTGAGTTTTCATTGTCCTCTCAGAAGTGACGACAGCTGAGCTCCCCGGGCAGAGCTTGTAGAACTTACCCACCCAGTCACAGACCGAGGCTGGCACATGGAGAAGCTGAGTCCTGGCGGGGCCCACCAAGGGCAGGTCCTGCTGGGTCTGTTTACTGCATGGAGACTGGCATCCCAAAGCAGTTCCGAGAGAGAGATAGAGAGAGAGAGAGAGAAGAAGTGGGAGGACAAGTAAGCAGAGACCTTTAGCACATGATCTGCACCCAGTAGAGAAAGATGGCACAAAAAGACTCAAGCCCCACCTGCCACATCCATCCCATTAGTCACACAGAAGTGCTGCTAGGAGATGCTTCCTCTGGCTAAGAGGGGGGAAAAAAGGACTAACAAAGAACCTGACCCATCTAGAGGCCAGCACAACTGGGGGCCACTTCACTTGACATCCACTAATGGTATTCCTCTCATAAAGGGATAGGTCTCCCTTTGGTTTCACTCACAGGAATACCACTGATTTAGCTATCAGTCAGGGAGCTGTTCACTTTGTGCCAAACCTAACAAGAAAAACAATCAGGGACTCATTGTACAGAGGGAAGGCTAGAAATGGAATGAGTAGGCCTCCTGAAGGGCCCATGAGCAGATAGAAAGAGATGTTTAACAGCAAAGTTAAGAATTTGCTCCAAGTCTCTGTGCCCATTGGTGATGACATACAAATTTCTAGCACTATGCAACTGAGAAAAGCCCTTGTCTATAGTTCCTGCTTCTCTAGGTACCTCAATGCCACCACTTTCTTTTATGTTTGAGCACATTTCCAGTTTTAATATTCCTGCTCTGGGTCTGGGTGACTTGTGCAGAGTGTTCATCTCACCCTGTGACCTTGAGGCTTTTCATCCCAGCCCCATTAAAGGGTGATCTCACTTGCAGAGCCTTCTGTGGGTTCCAACACACTAACTGTGCAACTCTAAACAAAACTGAGTGATTGCAAAAATATTTTACCCCAGAGTATTTTTATTAGGGATTCCTGCCACCATATATCGACATATATAAAACAACCTGGATTGTTGACATAGAAATGTAAATTTCACTGTACAAAGATAAGGCTCTAATCACAGTCACATGGCCTCCATACTTCTAGTATATCCGTGAAATCAACTCATAGTGAATTCTCCCCAGAGTTGTGTTTGTAAGTAGAAGACAAACCACAAAACATACTCCAATTCATAACATTTTACAATATATTCCAAGCACAGAAATACATGGACTTTACCTATATTTTTTCATGACCCAACTTGCATAAGTACTAAAACCAAGGTTGTGTGTGTGTGTGTATATGCATTTGCCATATATGTTTCTGTGTGTGTGTGTGTGGACACACTAGTTTTTATACTGTGGATTGTACCCCTTAGATACCAGGTCTTCTGAGTGAAAGAGAAAAGTAATGTATTACAATTCCTCAGTTGCTCCGTGGGGGTAAACATCCAGCTGCGTGTAAGTGGCTGTCAGCCGTGTCTATACAATACACACATATGTACAGGTTCATCTATGCTCATGCATGTAGCAATCATATGGAATATACATATACTCACACACTTGCTTTGAACTCCGTATCTGAGTACATTACATACTGCCCATCTTTGGAAGCAGTCTTTTCCTCTACATGGTGGCTCTCTTCTGACAAGACAAACAGATGTTTCCACAAGGTTCTGATCCTGATCCTACGTCAGCTAAGTGACAGCTCAGGATCCTCATCTTACCTCTGGTGGCAATTGTTTAAATTCAGCAAACCCTGTTCTGTCAGCACCACCACTTAAGAACACTGCTATTCAATAAAGAAGTCGCTGCCTACAAAAAATAAGATGCTAGCAGGAAATGTTAAAATAATACATCTGTTACTCCTTAATATAAATCTACATGGCTGGATTACGTGTGGTATTTATCCTGTTGCATACTTGAAATATCTCACCATGTAAAATAGATTGCTTCCATATATGTTAAAAAATAGGTTTTAATATGACATTAGACAGGTGAGGGCTAAATGATTTGTTATGGTTAGAACGACAAAGAAAATCCTATGAAATAAAGTTGGAAGGGAATGTCTGTTTTTCAGACTACATTGAAGCACTATCACATCAGAAAGCATGATTTAAAAGTCATCTGAGCAAAGAAGGGAAAAATAAAAACTTCAGTTTCAAAGCTGGCCATTTGCAAACTTCCAAAATAAATTGTTGGGGGCTTCAACCATAGAAAACATAATTTTATATTGGTATATGACACTGAAACCCCAGGAGAAGCAAAATCTTGCAAATTTAATAATAGCAAACATATATTATAGATGGTCCAACTGAAGACTTCATGAATCGGCTTTGAAATTTACTTTCAAAATTAAGCATCTAATAAAATGCTCAGAGCTCCAATGAATGAGAACTGGAAAAGTCCAGTTGGAAATTAAGTTAATGGCAGGATTGGAGAATCACCGATGTTAGGGAGAGTTGATGGCAGGGGTGGGAGAGCTTATCTCTTTATAAATGAAGGCAATAGACCATGTATGCATTTTCAATCCATGAAGAAAAACTAGTCTCCATGTGGTCAATTCCACGCTCTCTTCTTTCGTGTTTATGCCACAGTGTTGGTACCCTACATAGAATGACACCAGACCAGTCTGTCATGGACTTACTGCTCTGTAGGAAGAAACTAGAACATTGCCCTCTCTGTCATCAACTTCGCTGCAGCTGAGTTGGCATATTGTCTGCTCACCCCCTCCTTTTTCTCAATGGAAGAACCAATTGTGAGTGAGTGAAAGTTTTTTTCGAGAAATGAGGAAAGGATATGAATATAAAGACTACAACAAAGGACAATTACTGAATTACTGGCATTTATCAAAAAGCCATTCTTTCTCTCTCTCTCTCTCTCTCTCTCTCTCTGTCTCTCTATCCCCCATACACACACACACACACACACACACACACTTTTGACATTTCTTCCATACAACAATGAATTGCATGAGGAACCAAATAAAGTACCTTAGAGTTTCTCCACTTTTATTTAGATCCACTGAAACACAGCCATGTCAACTGACGACAATTGCACTGTTCTTCTCATCACTGAACACCAGGCATCACCCTCCCTTGCCTACCAGGACTTGCCTGCCAGCCTCACAGGACTCTGCTGCTTTTTCCACTTGCCCAATTCCCATCTGCTTCCACTCAGGTTAATGTACAATAATATGTAATTAACTGGCATATCTTTTCACCATTTTCTCCTTTAAAGTTTTACTCTCTTTTTAGAATATCATACTTTCCCCGGCTAAATTATACGGACAGAATGTAAAGGAAGACACCAACTCATCACGTCCAAGCACTTTGCAAAATGGACCCTTGTGTCCACTGAACGCTCTCAACCTCTACCTCCACTATCTCTTCTGGGAGCCCACTTGCTACACTGTCCATCCATTTTCTTTTTTCCTATGCAAACGTAATAACAAATTATAGGATTGTTCAGCCAAAAATAGTTTAAAAAACAAACCAGTGCCAAAACATTAAAAAAGTCCCAATATACCTGTGTGCATTAGTCTTACAATCTGTATACTTAAATAACTCCAAGAGGCTTTTTTTTTTGCTAAAAATTTACCAAAATAGTTTGAACACATAAAAATAGTTTAAAAAAAACATAAAGTAAAACCCAGCATAAATTGAGTTGTATAGGCATTGGTTAGAATTTTTTCCGCTAAGGATTATATTCAAAAGCCGTTCCTTGTATTTTTACTAAAATTCTGATTCTGAACCTCAGAGCTTATACTAATGCCAACTATTAGGAAGAGAAAAAATTAATTCAGGCCAATGAATTATGTATGGTGATATAATACGTAAAGAGTTTGTCTACACTACAATAAAATAAACATATTTTTGGTTATTTAAAGGTCATATGCCTGACCTGAAACTAAAATAACTATCCTTGATTTGAACTTACTTAAGTGCCATGATTTATGGAAAGTCAACCTAAGGGTTCAGATCTATGGTTATGAGTAAGGAACACCTGCTGACAGCCCTGTGACCATTCAGAACCAGGCACGGACCGAGAAAAGCATCACTCTTATTGAATATAGCCCTTAGTCTGGCGAGACCAAGATTCAGGAACAGCCCAGCATGTAGAGCACGAGGTTGACCTTCCCCGCCACCCACTCCTTTAGAGGACAGTAGTACTCATAGTGAAACTGCTCAAACTCTGGTGTCTGGCGGATTTCACATAAGAAGGAGAGATCAATACCTGACTCCAAAAGGAGGAGGAGCAGGGGGAATACAAAGAGCAGCAGTCCCAGGCCCACCACAAGGAGCCTGGAAAAACTCTTGACCAGCGGGTTCACCCGAATGTGGCCGGTGAGAATGTCATAGCTCCAGCTCAAAGCCCGTCGAGCCTCCTTCAGCTCCTCTTCCTCTGCGATCAGAAAGGCGTTTTCATCCGCTTCCAGGTCCTCAAAGGAGTCTGTGTCTTCTCTTTCCAGCTCCAGCCTGGACGAACAGTCAAACAGCATGTCAATCTCGTCGTCACCCACAGGGGTCGGGAGCAGGCTGGCACTGGGGTTGTACGCGAGTTCGGAGATGGTTAAGGGCTCTTCTTTCATTTTATCTTCCTCTTCGCTTGGGGAATCTTCATATTCCCGGGCTTCCTTCACTGGAGAACTGGCAGTCAGGGGAGCAGGAAGTTCATCCTCTTTGGGCAAAGGGACACCTGAAAACAGACATTTTTGCCTTAGTTTTAAAGTCCAGATTTACTTTTTTAAAATCAAAGCTATAGGCAGAAGCAAGCAAATCATCATCATCATCATCATGATATTAGAACTCAAGAGAGCCGTGAGATTGTTCTGTGTTGCCATAAATGCTAATATCTTCAATGCTAAATACGAAATAGTCACTGATTTCCCGAAGGCTGGTACATATTTTCAACATTAAGGTTACAATTCCAGTCAGCAAAACTCTATCTTGGGTTATAGTACAAAAACAAAAATCACAGTAATTCCGTTTTCTATATTACAAATATGAGTGGTAGCTTTTAAATTCTTTAGATTATTGGAGAAGCAGAGTCAAAGAAAGATAACAGAGAAAAACAGAGAGCTTCCTTACTCTGATTCACTGCCTCAAAATGCCCATAGTGAGCAGGACTGGACCAGGGCCAAAGCTGGGAACCAGGAACTCATTGCAGACCCCCCCATATGGCTAGCAGAGACCCCATATTGGAGCCTCCAGCCCATGCCCCCCAAGGCCTACGTGAAGGGCTGGAGTCTGGAGCTGGCACCAGGCATTGATTCCAGGCAGTCTAACACGGGATGCAGGAATCTTGTTCGCAAGGTCAAACACACACTTTACAACATTAGTCCTTCAGAAGGCAACATTAGCACTTAGCAGACTCTTAAACTGCTGAACCTACTACCAACAATAGTCACCATTATTTTGATGTAGTATTTCCTAGTCTTCATTCAAAGCACATTTTATGGTTTCTAATTTAATAGATGGGCCTTTCGTAATCTCAAAGGCCAAATCTGAAATGCTCTGTAATCTGAAATATTCCTGTTCTGAAGCATTTCAGAGGAGGGAGACTCCACCTGCAATCACAGCCCTTTTGCATGCGCAGTTTTACACTTTGCTCCTTTTATCTGCCATATTAATTTTTTAAACATTTATTTATTTGTATTGGAAAGACAGATATACAGAGAGGAGGAGAGACAGAGAGGAAGATCTTCCATCTGATGGTTCACTCCCCAAGCGGCTGCAATGGCTGGAGCTGAGCCAATTCAAAGCCAGAAGCCAGGAACTCTTCTGGGTCTCCCATGTGGGTGCAGGTTCCCAAGGCTTTGGGCCATCCTCGACTGCTTTCCCAGGCCACAAGCAGGGAGCTGGATGGGAAGCGGGGCCGCCGGGACACGAACCGGCATCCATATGGGATCTTGGCATGTGCAAGGTGAGGATTTTAACCACTATGCTATTGCACTGGGCCCTATCTGCCGTATTAATTTAAATCTCTTCTGTGTGGATTTAAACTTTCACTGGTTTTATTTATATAGTTTGCCAAATTTTCTATTTAATGCAATAAATTAGTTGTGTATTGACAAGCATTTAAGTTCATTTGCCGTTACAAATAGTGTTCTAAAACACATCTTTGTATAGAAAGCTGTCTCCTCCCCCATCTTGTTTACAAGAAAATGACCTTTTTTAATTTTGCATGGCAAGAAATGTCTCTTAATGTCTCATTTTACAGATCAGAGGTCCAGCCACCTACTGTCAGCCTCATGGCCATCTCTCCAAGTTTCCTGGGTTCTTAGTGGAAAACAAAGACAATATCAAAGAAGCGGCCCTTAGGTTGGATCTGCAGTATCATCTCAGACAGGCACCAGGTACATTAGAGTAACTATCCGCCAGCTTTGGATTACAGACTTTCCTTCTTGATGGGCAGAAGTGAATCACTAGCTTTACTTTCCAACAATCCACAGATGCTTTCTGGCGGCTCTGCTCTGACAGTACTGAGCAGTCCAATGAAAAATATACAAAAGATAAGCATATACTAATGGCATGCAAAGACGCTCAACAAATTCAATTCCTAGAGAATTATAAACCAAAATTGCAATAGCACGCTACTTCCTACCTATTAAGATGGCAATAATTTGGGCCCAGCATGGTGACCTAGCAGCTAAAGTCCTCACTTTGAATATGCTGGGTTCCCATATGGGTGCTGGTTCTAATCCCGGCAGCCCTGCTTCCTCCCATCCAGCTCCCTGCTTGTGGCCTGGGAAAACAGTCGAGCATGGCCCAAAGCCTTGGGAACCTGCACCTGCGTGGCAGACCTGGAAGAAGCTCCTGGTTCCTGACTTGATGGCTCAGCTCTGATGATTGCAGTTACTTGGAGAGCGAATCATCAGACGGAAGATCTTCCTCTCTGTCTCTTCTCCTCTATGTATATCTGACTTTGCAATAAAAATAAATAAATCTTTTTTTAAAAAAAATATGGCAATAAGTTAAAAACTGGAATTAACTGGTATTAATGAGGATGTTGGTGAGCCTGCACATTCCCAGGGAAGGTAAAACAGTTTAGGTGTCATGGAAGAAAATTGGTATCCCTTGAAAAGTTGGATATTGAATTACCATATAAGCTAGTAATTCCATACTTAGGGACATACTCTAAAGTGCTCTGTCCACACACTGGAATGTTAGCCATAAAAAACAATGAAGTACCGAAATGTGCCACCACATGGAGGAACTCAGACACACATACTGTGGCATAGTGGGTCAAAATGCTGCATTTAATGTCAGCATCCCATTTGGGCACCAGATATGTCCTAGCCACTCCGCGTCTGATCCTGCTCTCTGCTAATGGCCTGGGAAAGGAACAGGAGATGACCCAAGTGTTTGGGACCATGGTCTAGTGCTGGCTATTGTGGCCACCTGGAGAGTGAGCCAGCAGAGGAAAGATCTATGTCTCCCCCTATCTCTGGAACCCTTTCAAATAACTATTTTTTTAAAAGTATATGATGTTAAGTGAAAGAAATCAAACACATAAAATTCATATCATGTGTTATCTTTTTCTCTTACAGTGTCTCAAAATGTAATCCCTTATGCCTCTCTCTGCTTTCCATCCATGTCCCTTCCCTGTAGCGAGGAGTGAAGGAAAGTTCAGGTTTCCAGATGGCAGTGCTACGTTCTTAGCGACTCCGTGCTTCCAACTGCTAAGGCCAAAACCCTGGACTCTGCTCTGTTGACACCACGTTGAGCCTGTTAACAACATCTGCGTCTCCACCTTCCAAATGTGTCCAGAACCAGACAGATCTCACAGCCTCCATCCGGAGAGTCCAACTGCCCCTTATCCTTTCCCCCTCCCCAGCCCTTGCCCAAGCGGGGGCTGCCGCCGGCACAGCTGCTGAGACCTCTTCCCTCCCATTCACGCTAACGTCACTTTCCTAGTGAAGCATTTCCCAAACTCTGCAAAATCTCCATCCTTTGTGCAGCATTCTCGAGTCTTTATCCTCATTCATTTCCTCCTGAGACAGTGAGAATGTGAAGAAGAAAAACGGAGCATTATAAAAGAACCCAGGGGCTTCTGTGGAGGACGTGATCACAATCGCCAAGCCAAGGGGCACAGAGGTCAGCACCTCCACGGACCAGCCAGGTGCCTAAGGGGAATGGAGGCAGACCAGGCGCAGGAAACGGGCAGCAGCAGTGACTGGTGAATGGACCATTTGAAGTCCAGGAGGGTGTATGGCCTGGTAACTAAGAGGTCCACATCCCTTCTGCCATGTTTGAACCTCTGTTTAGGTTCCCGATTCCAGCTTCCCAGGAATATAAATTCTGAGAGGTAGTGGCAATGTCTCAAGTAATTGGGTTCCTGGCACACGTGTGGGAGACCTGAACTGAGTTCCTGATTTCTGGTTTAGGGCCAGCCTAGCTGCCTGTTGAAGGCATTTTAGGAGTTACCTCTCTTCTCCTTACCTCTTCCCTCGCAGCACCTCCTCTCAATCGAATAAACTAAGGGCTGATGCAGTGTCAAGTGGGTTAAGCCTCCTACAGTGCCAGCAACCCATATCAAAATGCTGGTTCAAGTCCTGCATGATCCACTTTAATCTAGTTCCCTGCTGACGGTCCCCAGTCAACACTCCGGGGGAGTGAACCAGCAGTTGGAAGATTTAAGTCTCTTCTCTTTCCCTTTCAAATAAATGAATCTTTTTAAAAATCCATACCGCATGTTTCTTTAGGTCTGTTTAGGCACACAGGCTGCCTGTCTGTAACTGCAGCAACATAAATTGCAGTTACAATCACCTACAACAATGTGGTTATAATCGCCTACATTTCCTATGTTTGTAGTCATCCAAGTGTTCACTTATTTTTCTGGGAAGGAGATAGGCAGCAGGAAATGACTACCATCTTCCCTTACACAGGCTCACTAAGCATGCACGTCAGGTGTGCTGGCAAGTCACGTGTTGCTTTTCCCCGTTTCCTTGCCTCAGTTGCCTCAATTGTTAAGACAGCTGGGGTAGGATAGAAGGGGGCCAGACAAAGGCTTGACAACCCAAGATTTCAGTCTCTGCTCTTTCCTTCTGAGAATTTAATGTGAAATAACTACAAGTTATTTACTATTTTTGGATCTCAGTTTGCTTTGCTACAAAATAGGTACAACTCAACCTCCTCAGTCTGGGGTAAATGCTAAAATTAGAAATATATAAGTACTGCTTATAGCAAAAAAGGGAAACATAAAAATTACATGCTACCATATTAACAATCACACTAGGCTACATTTAATCTATTATCAGGCAATAGCGTTTAATCAGCACATACATCAGTTTTCTACCAAGTCTGAGACACAGACTGCAAGGTGGATTTTACTACAGTTGCTGAACCACATTTTCTTAGTTTTCCTTAAACAATAGATGCTTAAAGTTTCCTACATGCCCCTTTTCTGGTGAATTCTAGCAATAATGTCCAAAGAGATCAGAAATACTAAGTTCATAATGTTATCTACATTGCTTAAATTTGTTTATTTTATCTCATTTATATCCAAACAGTATCCTGAATGTAATCACAAACCACAACTAGTTAAGACTAAGAACTTTTTTTTTCTGTTTTAAAAATAAAATGGCACTGATTGAAGAAAAGGGAAAAAAAAAGACTTCCACATTTATATAGTAATACAGCCCAGATAGGTAACAATTACGAAGCTTCTAGCACAAATGAAACACTCAATCAGTG